GTCATTTATTCATATAGGTAACACAATGTACACTTATGAACGTCAAAAATGAAAAACATATTAAATGCTTCTAATTTTACATTTACTGCCACTGCTCAAATCAAGGGCGTAGAACGGAAGAGAAGAACTGGCAATAAGCTCCCTTCGCTAAGTTACAAAACTTATAAACAAAGTGTACAAAGTTATACACAATGTTTGTAAGGTGCTGATATTATTACACCATGTTCCACGTGACTTCTTAAGTAATTAATAGTTAATTACTAATAATAAAATAAATAAAAAACAAAGATATTAACAGCCATATCATAGTTTGCATCCAAATGTCTAATTATAATTAAAAGCTATTAAATTATTTATTAAGTCATATTTTATTTTAGTATCTCAAAACTTATAATATATGAACTCCCTCGTAGAATAGAAACGCCGTGCCTTTAAATATCTTATTACCTTCCCCTTGAAATCATTACACGTAGTGTTCTGTTACCTGTTGGATGTATTTTATAATAGATTTATTTCAATAGAGACATTAAAATGGCCGCCGTGCCGTCATAAATCATCTCATTGTTATAATTTCGTAATGCAATAAAGTTGAATAAATGAATAATAAATATAAACTATATATAGTATATAAAATACACCAAGATGACAAAAATCTATTAACGCAATAGTTTCTCTTAGAAACTACCGTAAAAATATTGATAAAACGTAAATATTCACAATAATTGTACAGTAAAGTTGTAAATAAAATCTATCGTCACAAAATTAAGTGCCTAATGTTTACAAACATTGATTAATGAACAAAACTTGAGTGGTTCGTGTATAATCCCCTTAACTACCTACGCGCCAGGCGCTTACGGCTACGGAATAATGATTCATGCAATGTTAATAACATCGCGTATACCAACTGTTACTACGACTTGCTTTGCCATAAAGGAACTAACTTTTGTTTTGCTTATAGCTAAGTTCAAACAACTCCCAATTTAAAATTCGTCCTAGTTCTTGAAATAATTAAATTTAGAACGTTAATTCTTTACAATTAGAATTGAAAATATTTTATATTTCAAGGATTAATATATGTTGTCTCAGATTTCTATCTGTTTCTAATAGTCAAATAGGAGATCAGCCTTGTGCCTGTTTTCGCTAAAATTATGTATAAAAAGGTATTCCTATATAATAACGCATATGCGTTATTAGTTATTATATAAGAATACCATATATAGAATATATAATATTCTATGCAAAAAAATCCGCCCTATAAATTTCCTGCAATATCTTTCTAAAGGAATTTCCTTAATGCACCGTAATCTCGCTTAAAAGCGTTCCAAACTTAAAATTCGTTTTAAAAAGTTTAAAGTATTCATTCTATTTGCAGTTAAAGGATGGACAAGAAAGAAATCAATTTGGACTCGGTATTGGAGAGTCTGGGACCGTACGGACGTTACAATCTATTGAATTTCGTCCTTTTACTATTCCCAGTACTGCTGAGTGCGTTCTATGAGTGCGGCTTCATATTTGAGGCACAGGAACAAATCTACCGGTAAGTTTTATTTGTGATAAATTCTGTTAGGGGTAATGGTAACATTGTTCAGTCACAGGACTTCTTTAGTTCTATTAAAGGTACCAGCCTCTCACAGAGATCAATACCGATAGCATTGTGTAGAGGATTTCAAACTTAATTATTATTGTTTACTGCTCAGGATCGATTCGTGACCTTGGTACACTGTTGCACACGGGCCTAAGTGAAGTGAGCACAGTTTTATGAGTTATCTTGTAGGAATTTGCCGGTATATTTAATATTACTGCTAGGGAGGTCTAACATTTTGATAGATTTGTGTCAGTTACACGAAATTTTGAATTGTTCCTTTAGTGGACAAAGCAGGTAGCTCATAGCAACTACCAACATAGACTCCCTGCTGTCTTTCTCTTTAAAAATACTATTTGCGATCAATGATACTTTAATAACAGTTAAAACGTCTAATGATACTACAAATTAATCAGTAACGCTACAACCTCTTTAGGTCTGGGCCTTAGATTTCTGAATCTGTTTCATGATCATTTTTCAATCTAATAGGCAAGTAGGTGACCAGCCTCCAGATAACCAAATAATAAACAGACATTAGTCCATACGAACCGGTCAAAAAATTATCTTTTATACTAAACATTTGTTCAATGCGTCATAATCTCAGATAGGGACGATAGTATACATACTTTGTTAAAGGTCCACTCGATTTTAAGATCTGTATATTTCGTGATTGTATGAGCTCACGGTGATATGTACACGTATAATCCTGTAAAATAAGTGACATATATGCCCTATATTTTCCCTAACCCCGAGGGTTACGGGGACCATGCATACACACGCTGATAGAACTGTTGACTTGAGTCATAATATGTATATACATTTGCTTCATAATGAGTGCTAGCCCTTATAAGAATAAACTACTTCAGTACTCTGTTGTCTCTTTTAGATAATTTGTATTTACGCTATAATGAAAAGAGACATTGAGTGATTTTATCAATGGTTGGACTGATTTATATGATAAAGACGAACTGACTACATCTAATTGCGCTGTTAAACATTTTAATATTTTATCAATCATATTTCCGTTCATAAAAAAATTGTATATAGCTAAATGTTTTATTATTTAAACCAAAAAACAAAACTGACAGAAAATATCAGCTATAAAAATACCGTAAATCGACAAACTATGTTTTATCTTGACATTAAAGATATATGGTTTTATAATCATTAATTCAAACGAATCGATTATATAATTTACCATAAAAAAGACAGTAAAACAATTGTAAATTGCATTAAACCTTGTTTACGTGTCATTTGAAGGCCAAGCAGTGAACTTCATTGGTATTTTTGCGACGCACTGCAATATTTCTGCATATAAATAGAGTGTAAACTTTATAACGATTTAATGCTTGCGCTTTACACATCTCGGTACGGCAGATGAAATGACGTTAACAGACAATAATTCGATGTTATTCTTTCAATATCCGTAGCGTTGACGTTAATCTGGAATTGCGTGGTATTACTACATAGTATAAAACAAAGTCGCTTTCTGTGTCCCTATATACCTATGTATGCTTAAATCTTTTAAACTACGCAACGGATTTTGATGCGGGTTTTTTTAGTAGATAGAGTAATGAAGAGGAAGGTATATATGTATAATAACATCCATTAAATAGTGGACAAATACTGTTATTTTATAGGTTTCTAATTTGATGTCGTAAATAATTAAAATTTTTCCGCTTACATTGCAAACGCAGGCTGACCCCTACGAGATTTATCAAAATTGGATATTTTAACGCGTGCGGGCCACGGGCAGTAATGAATAAATCAAAACTACTGGATCGATTTTAATCATTTTTTCAGTGAGTGACATAGGCTATATAACTAATTTCTATAGCAGTTACGTCGTGAACTACGCAGGCAGAGCTGTCCGCTGTCCTCTATAACATTGTTTCATCGTTGAACATCTAAGCCTGGTCTTAAAATATGTATAAATTATCGTGAATTTATTACTTACAGTATTATTATTGTATGTTAATGTTAAATTATTTATTAATAATGTTTAATTATTTATTAATAATGTTTAATTATTTATTAATAATGTTTAATTATTAATGAGTCAAATTAACCAAGTCTTGCAATACAAACGATAAATCATGAGCCATCCTCATATCACATACTCGTAAAAAATGAGATAAACATTATCTATATACGTTTTATAGCTTGTGGACTTGAAGATACTTCATTCTTCACGCAGGTTAGGTCAAGCGTGCTATATGATAGTTTCAATTATAACAAATCAAAGTAAATAAGTTTGTATATTGTTCTTATAAAAACCCTGCAGGATATCTCAATGTATCTAACAAAACAAACAAAGAAAAAGAAACGTTTTGCTGATTAACGTTACTTTTATGGCTGTTATTTTCTGTCAGTTTTGTTTAAGGTTCAAATAAACAACAACAATGTGAAATGAATACGTACTCTAGCCTATAATTACTTAAATGAATGCGATAAGATAAGTTTACTTAACAATTTATCAGGCCTAAAAATACAGTATTTAGAAAAACGTTCATTTTCCATTTTTGATGTAAAAGTTCTGCTATATATTCTCTTTCAAACTGGCAAAAACATGACATCCTAATCACTAAAGAGGTATTTTTTTTAATTAAATTCAAGGCGATCCATCCAGTAAGATATTAGTAATTTCCTTTTTTAACATCTTTATTATACAGAATACATATACAATAGTCGTAAGATAAAATTATCTGTGGCTTTAGTCGTGGTGATATGGTATGGATTTTGGCGCCAACCTTACGTGTTCGAATATCGTATACTGTAATAATAATAAATATTCAGTAACCTTTGCCTATATATTTTACATTTAAAATCACCCTAGTGTGGAGACTTTAGATAAATTTTGTCACAACCATATTCTGTTATTAATAAAGTTTTATTATTATAATTATCATTACGACATTGCATAGGTGCCATCCCACTTTATCAGATTAGATTATTTTTATCACGCATAATGCAACAATTTCTCAAACCACTATATTCGATATTGATTCTGTTCTGTCGTTATGTAGCTCATACATGCTAAGAGAATATGCGTCGCATTCAAATTTTTCAGGTGCAAAGTAGATGGCTGTGAAAACACGTTCAACGACACATCCTGGCTGCAGTACGCTATACCGAGGGACAATAACAAGGAAAGACCCGAGTCCTGTAAAAGATATGCCCCATACACTACCATAGAACATTGCACACCAGATGAATTCAGTAATAGAACCATACCGTGTGATAGCTATGTGTATGAGTTTAATGGATCTTTAGTTGAAGAGGTAGGTTTGAATACTGAGTAACATAACATTTGTCAGGTTTTGTTCTTACCTTCATCATAGTACATTAAGCACGCTGAACTTTTAACTTTTTATATATAGTCAACATGTATTTACTGTCTAGAGTACTGTAACTGGGGAGCTGGGGGTGAGACATAGCCAAATTGTAGTTATGAATTTGAAAATAGGAAGAGATACATAGTATCTATAATACTTTTTATTAGTATTAATACTAATTTCCAAAACGAATAAGTATTGCAATACAGCGGGGAAATGCTGCCAGATTTAAAGGTACACTGCCACAGGGACCAAACTTTTTTTTTATGTTCTTTTTATTAATTATCTTTAATATTACTGTGTAGGTTAAGAAAATTTTAAGTACTGTATATTAGAAAATTATACTCTCTTTTATAATCCATGTTCGAACTGGTCATTACGGTCTCTCATATGGTGCAATTAAAAGGTCGTATGTTACTGGCTATATGTTACGATACATTTTGTTTACAGTTCGACCTAGGTTGCCAAGAATGGAAGCGAGCACTAGTAGGAACCGTCCACAACAGCGGAATGTTTGTGGCTATGTTGTTTACTGGGATTCTCTCCGACCGGTTCGGAAGGAAGGCTGCAGTGGGTCTTGCAGCAACAGCGAGTTGCCTCTTCGGGATACTTAGAGCTTTCTCACCCAATTACGCCATGTATATGGCAATGCATTTCTTTGAAGCTGCATTTGGGGGCGGGTTGTATCCGTCCGCCTATGTCTTAGGTAAGATCCGTTACATACATATTTTGCGTTTTTGTAAAGCTCTCATCCCTGAAATGTTGTTAGTTCGATTCCCGGCTGTGCACCAATGGACTTTGTTTCTATGTGCGCATTTAACATTCGGTCGAACGGTGAAAGAAAACATCGTGAGGAGACTGGCGTGTGTCAGTGTGGCCCAGGAGGCTGATTGCCTTGCCTAGATTGACAAATGGTCATGAAACAGATACAGAAATCTGAGGCCCAGACCTAAATAGACCTATTTCATTATTTTAATGGTGAGAAACGGCGATTCATTTAGCGGTAATTTATGAATATCATTTGTTACGCATGATATGTATGATAGCGTTATCTATGTCACAATCAATCAATCTATCAAAAAATATGACATGCAATAACGTAGATTAAATAATTTGTCATAAATAAATGTAATCGTAAAATTATCATTGTAATTTTATGTAATCTGTGTATATTGTCGATGTTATTTTTTTCAACAATTGCCTGAGGTAACGCTTATTCAAAAAAAATAAATCAATCTAATAGGCAACTAGGTGATTAGCCTCCTGTGCCTGACACACGCCTTCGACTTTTTGGGTCTAAGTCAAGCCGGTTTCCTGGCGATGTTTTCCTTCACCGTTCGAGCTAATGTTAAATTCGCATATAGAAAGTCCATTGGTGCCGGGGATCCATCCTCAGGGATGAGAGTCGCACTCTGAAGCCTGGACCAAAATTGCTAAACTTAACAAAGTTACTTACAATACTTATTTATCAATAAACATTTAATGTTACACTCGCTAGAGAAACGGGTTTAAACTCGCTAGATAAAGGGTGAAATGTAGATAAAAAAGTACACATGTCAGAAGTGAAACTTCTTTGTAAATACATATATAATTTAGTATAGGATCACTCCATGTATTTGTATACCTACCTATATTTGTGAATAAAAAAGAAAAAAAATCTTATATTTTATAAATTATCTTTACGAAATTTTAATTTTAAAAATAGAATTTCTTCATGCTACGTTTGCCCTTTCTCACTCTCTCTCAATCGCTTTCTATCTTTTCTTTGACATAAACGCTGCACATGCGCCTAAAGAAGTTTCACTTCAAAAATAGCTTTTTCTTAATATTTTAAGTATGGTAGATGATAAGACAGAAGACTTTAGGTTCACAGGTTGTTTAGGATTAGAACAGGCGTGACCACGACCACGACCACAACTTGTGACCATCGTTCATTAACATTCAATAACTAAATAAATAACCTTTTGCAGCTGTCGAGCTGGTTGGTCTCAAGCAGCGTGTGATTGTCTCCGCCATGTGCAATATGGCCTTTGTCGTCGGTGTCGTCCTCCTTGCTCTTTTGGCATGGTTCGTTAACAATTGGAGAACCTACATTCTCATACTCTACAGCCCAGCCATCATTGTTGGATTGTACGTGTGGCTGATGAACGAGAGCGCCAGATGGCTGCTTAGCAAAGGCAGAAAGGAAGATGCCATTAAAACCTTAAAAAGAGCAGCGAAATTGAACAATATGGACCCTGCTAAATTAGATTTGGATGCACTGAGCGATCCCTTACTAAAGAATGACGTGACCCCAGACAAAAAGTCTCAATTCTCAAAAGCGATACGTTCTAGTATCATTTGGAAGCGTTTAGTTGTGTGTTCGTTTTTGTGGTTAACATGTTCATTGGTATATTACGGGCTCTCGATAAACTCAGTGTCGCTAAGTGATAACAAATACGTAAGTTTTATGCTGGTGACGGTTGTAGAAATTCCTGCGTATATAATAGTAGTGATAGTGTTGGACAAGTATGGCAGGAAAAAGACGATGGTGGTTAATTACATGACGTGTGCGGTTACCAGTTTGCTGTTCGCTTTCTTACCTAAAGGTGAGTTGTTTATGTTATAATATTTTACAACTTGCGAAAACCACGCAATTATTATGTTTTTTGTTCACTTATGTAACTATTAATTTGACTATTAAATCAATAGGTTCGAAACTTAGATCGGCTTAGATGTACTGTTTTCATCGAGACTATAGACTATATAGCTTTCAATAAATTGCTTATTACAATATATACTTATGTAGAACGATTCTTCTACGAAACTGTTATCATAATTGTATTGAAGGAATTTTTTTCACAACATAGTATTGTTTTTTTGTAAGTTATACATTTTTATATGCTATGGAAAGTAACCATTAAATTACTTTTCCATTGTTTCCTCGAAATTTTAAAATGTTCATTCATTAATCATTTCGAGTAATAGACATTCACAATGACATTCCATGTATGTTATTTGTATACAATTATTGTATTATGGTACGTTCATCATACATCAGTTTTTAATAAATTTCTCCGAAACTGAAAGTATGAATAGATATTGATTTTGTTTAAAACGATTTGATTATAAATATTGCTTTTTTAATTTTTAAATGTCAATCCCAGTCTCTTGTCAAGACGTCTTCACGGCAATGCACAGAGTTCAATAATTTTAGCGTTAATGTATCATAGATAATTATTTCCATACGACAGTATGTATGAATATTGTTCGGTCTAATATTGCTTAATTTAGCTCAGAGGTTATTTGTTGAGCGGTCGTTGTTGTTGGTTTATAATTAACCGGGTTTTCTGGAACATGTGTATTTGCTAATCTTTTGTCGTATAGACGAAAAACCTCTTGGAATAATGCATACGTTTTTTTTTCATAGAAAGTTTTTTTTTCTTTATTTTGGTTTTTGGTAACCAAAGGCAAAAAAATACAGACAATCATAAATAATTAACATAAGTTACAAATTTCGTCTACCATAAACCAAAAAATATTGTATTCACGGATAAGATCACGCTTCATTTGTCATGAAGAAAGTAAAGACGCTTATAGGTTGTTAATGATAAGAAATACGAGTACTAACTCCACGCAAAGGTTTTCATTTGTAGTCAAATCTAAAGATTAATGAATTCATTTATTAAAATATATAAGGCCGTTAGTGGTTTTGATAATAATATTTAAATTAAATGTATTAATTAGTTTCCAATTAAACAAACACAAGCTGTCCCAGTTAAATTTTTAGGTTACTAAATACCTAAATTACAATACGATACAATATAAGCCGCACTGCAGACGAAAGGAGGACTGATTGTTGGCTAAACAAAATAATATTATATAATATTTGTGAAACATAACAAACACGGATATAAAATACATCAATTCATAAATTATAAAAACTAAAGGGTAATTGATTTGAAAGTGTGAGCGGAGCAACTATGGATATCCAGACCTAGCCCGTTTATCAGAATGCACAATCTGGATATCGGAGTTTTGGCCAAAACGCGTTCTTCTGAAAGGAGGGACAAATGGGCTTTCATTCAAGCAACCAGCAATATGTTTTATCTCACTTTTACATTCACATATAGTTTTATAATAAAACTCGACTTTATTTAAATTGTTGTTTTTAAAGTGTCAGTCAATCAATCTAATTTTCTTTCACAGCTGAAGACTATATTTTTTTTTTAATTCCTCTTCATTGTCGTCCCATCTTCGAGACTTGATAGAACATACATTTGGTTTAAGTAACAATAGAAATATCTCTGGATTAAATTATAAATACATCGTAATTAGACAAAGTTTGCAAACGGATGTTGAACAATAAGTCAAAGTAAATTTCAGAGAGTGTAATATAGTGGTTCACAAAACTATCACTAAGACGAAATCTTACCTCCTTATTAAACTTATCTGTCAAACTTCAGCGCCGGTAGGTACTATGTAACTTCCAATAGCGATACAGTCCCGGTGATTTTGTATGCAATCGTTATACATATTTCTCTAAATTTCCGTATAACTGATGTCGTGCGTCGGGATCGAAAATCGCCGTATTGGATTACCGATTCTATTCACGATGTGAAAAGGGGACGTCTAAACTTTAAGTTATGTATGACTAAGGGTGAGATCTAGATTGGATTGCTAGACTTACCTTACGAAAACTTTGCTTAGTGTACACTAAGGTTAAACTATATTTCGTATTTATAGACATTTTAAGGTGAGATTAAGCTAAGCCCAAGCTAAGAAGAAAATGTCAAAATACAAATTGATTTTCATTTCATCAATACTTTGTTTATTATCCTTTAAAAAGTTAACAATAACAAATATTTAAAAATCTAAAACGTACACATATATCTTCAATTTATTGTTATTTATGTATTCATTTATTTTATTATTGCAATAACTAGAAATTAGAGTAACCTTTAGAAAATGTATTAATTATTTAAAGATGACAATAATTTTATTACGTAGAACGGATCGCAATGTTTTGGTTAGGTTATAGTTTGAATTTCGTTGTCACTATAATATCAATTGCCAGGGCTGCCAGGTGACATACAAAATCACACCAGTTATTTTTAAGATTTTAAAATGGTTTGAACAATTAATAAATAATATAAATAAACAACAATAAATACCATAATAATTGTAATTATTTTATTTCATGCATTTCATAGTATTTATCAAGATCATTTATAATTTCTTTGAATCAAATTTATTTTTCCCAAAGTCTATGGAACTCGATACAAAATGGCAACACGTTCATTAAAAACCGACAAAAATAAAAAGTCCATAAAAGATATGATGGTAAAGCAAATTTTGGGCATTATTTTTGTTAGCTTATATCAAAGTTTTTGTAAGTTGATTTGTGGACTTGAGATTAAGCTAAGCCAAATAGGGAGAGATTCGTAGTTTGCTCTATAAATACCACTGTTCTTGCTCGATAGTTAAGTCAGAGCAAAGTCTAAGTGGACTATAGATCTCACTAAGGTGATTGACCAAACTTCAATTTATACACGAGTAACTATACCAAGAATAATCTATTCCATATTTTAATCTGAGTAAATCATAGTTTTGTCCACGTAATGATAGTATAATTGCCTAGGAATAACAATACGGAATAGCAAGAGAATGGTGAACGAAAATAAAACTCGGCAAATAAATGTTTTCTACAACGAATTAGAGATACATCGTGTCAAGTATTTTGTATTATAGAGTGAAAAAGTAGTTTTAAAGGTGTCAACGAAACAAAAGTTTTTATTTCTTGTTTGTTTGAGGCTTTCGTCTAAAAGGAACTTTGTTGACCTAGTTGAATTTCATTCTAATATTATAGAAAATAAAAAATCTAAAAATAAATAAATAAATAATAAATTGTTTAAAGTTTATTATAAATCCAGACTATTAATTTAGTGGTTGGTTGACTTGAAATTAAAACACAGAATACATAATATTTGTGAAATGACAGAAATCACTGATTGACTGACTGACGCCATTAAATTATTCTAGAATACTGTATTCCGTGCGAAACGGGGTATAGTAGTATTCCCGATGAGCCCACTATTCTTAGAATTTGTAGTTGGTAAAACGTAAAATTGATTTACTCTGATTACTGACGATTTATTCTAATTAAGATTTACTCTTGTTTGGTCGAATCGGCCCTAAGAAATACTACATATATGACATTACAGCTTTTAACCTTGCTATGGATATTAAATACCAGATATTAATAAAAACCTTCACATATTATTTTATTCCTCCACGGATCATAACTTGGACCTTGAAAATTATAATTAACCTAACTAAGTTAGAATAGAACAATTATAAATTTATATCAAGGTCAGAAAAAAATTGAAAGAAATAGATATGTATCATGAATTTAGAAACCTTTGACTATGGTTTTTTAATTTGTTACTAAGCTAATTTGAGTCTATGATAAATTCAAAAAGCTTTTTCAATAACATCAAATCCTGCTGCAAAAAAGTATTTAAAATAAATTAAAACATAGTTTCCACCTAAGAGATATTTTTTTTAATGAAGCTAAAATAGCATATTAGACCAGTCCGTCAAGAAATTAGTATTTATATAATTATATTTTTGGTCTATTAACTGACAACCCTGACTGTCACTGTCACATCAAACTGAGGATTAATATGGCTGTATGGACTAAAGTTCTTTGCCTTTCCCATTAGGGATACATTAATATCATCATCATCATCATGAGGATTAATATAGCATTAATATATATTTAATTACAGGTAACTGGTACTCAATAGTCCTATATCTAATCGGCAAGTGGAGCGTCACTCTCACATACAGCTCAGTCTACATCTACGTGTCTGAAGTATTTCCCACTAACATGCGGCAGATGTTGCTAAGCATTTGCTCTACCTCTGGGAGGATAGGATCTCTCATTGCACCATTGACGCCTTTGCTGGTAATGCTCAAATATTACTATATTTTATGTAGTTGTCGTAGCAATGGCATTACTGTCAGCTGCCATTGTCATTATATGTCAAAGGGCTTATAAATTAACAACAAGTTAAATCAGTTCCAAAACCGTCAGTAATTCCATCATTATTATTACTATCGACCATTGAATAGTTGTATTTTATAGATATAGCAATATTACAAAATTAAATAAAGTAGTATTAACGGTTTTGAACTTGTTAATTACTTGACTTGACTTTGACATCGTTAACTTATAAGACATGTTAGAACTATGACAGCTGACAGTAATGGCATTGCTCCGACATAGATTATATCATGTTGATTTTACAAGTGAAGTTTAATTGATTTAAATATTTATTACGAGTATAATTAAGTCTAAGAAATATTTTTTTTACTTCTTTATAAACTGTTTTTGTATGTATCATGTTTTGTGCTTGTTTCAGTCACACTACCACAAATCCATGCCAACAGTGATTTTCGGAGGCATGTGCATCATATGCACCATGCTAGTTTTTCTTCTTCCGGAGACACGAAACATACGTCTACCAGACACCATTGAGGAAGCTGAAGAATTGTCTAGGAAAAAGAGAAAAGCCGAACCTTTGACTGACATAAAGTGAATCTTATGGTCTGACGTAAATTATAGAAAATCCATTGGAAAAAAAGCCACTAAAAATTAACTTACACCAAAAGTGGTTGGCTCTGGCTTCTATAAAAAGAGTTTTATGTTCCTAAACGTGTCTGCAAGCTTACCACGTAACTTTAATAGCGATTGCAATGATTGACTCAATGAATAGTTAGTGATTAGCTTGGCATTGGTACCTCCTAAGAGCCTCTATGTTTTTGGTATATATATCTCAATTTCAAGGGAATTTCTATATCCAGGGCGCTGATGTTACTCATTAATTTATGCGATGCTAAAACTCAATATATCGGAATCGATATTCAAGTTAAGCGGTTAGCTTACTAATTGAATTTATTTTTCTATTTTTAATTTTAAAAGTAGCTTTTGTCAACAGCGTAATAACCAAAAAGATTTACTGGTTCATAAATCATATCAAAAATTTAACGGCCAAAGAATAAAACAAGAAATTATAAAATATTGTTATATTCATAGTGATAAAAAACGAATTTCGATATAAGAAATCTGTCTAATTTTACAAAACTACTTCTTCATCACAGCGTAAACATTATTTGACAGAAAGATGAAAGAGTATTTTTAAATTTACTAAGATATTTAAGAAATACAACAAAAATATTTTGTGACGGTAGAACAATTTACAATTTTTCTGTCTACCGTCGTACATTATCATAATAATATGATACTTAATATTTAAATTAGGTATTAAAAACAAATCAACCTGAAAATTATGCAATTAATTTGTTTTACTCGTGAGTAAACATTTACATATATATTACTCATACTAGCTATAAAGGCAATTTAAAGACAATAATGCATTTAAGAATCTGTGGTTTCACAGTCTAAAAGCAATTTCATTATTTACGACTTCTATACAATGCCACAGACTGCATCAAATTCCATTGTGATAACAATGTTATGACAATATTAATGCGTGGCCAACAAAATTGATAGGGTTATCAAAAAATTATAATAGATTTTTTTTAAACATTCTCTTAAAGGTAACATTTAACATTGTAAACTGATTTGTAATTATTTTATTATTATAGATAAATATATATAAAACAGCTTAAGCTCATGTATAAAATAACTTTATCATCCCAGGATACGAATTAATTTCAAAAATTAGCGCTAAATATCAGTCCCGACTGTCAAAAACTTATTCAGATGGCAGTCGTCTCGACTCTTACTTTTGCCAGGAATGTCGACCAATTCCTTTTTCAATCCTAATCCGGACCAAGTCTTATATTCTAGGTAAAATGACCAACTTGAATGTAATTACGGTGTTACATTACAACAGCTTGTCATTCGCAAGTACTATGGTACTTCATCGGTGATCTGCAGAAAAACTCGATAGACTCTTTAATAAAAGGGCTCGAAAAATGCGTCCTTGCTTCATTTAGTTCAGTTTCACAGCCCTAACTCATTGTAAGAAGATTTGAAACTTCCTTTGTTTATAGTATGCACAATGTAAGACGTACAAACTTTCATACTTTTAACACTTAAGCTTTTTTAAAATAGTAAATATTTTAATACATCATTAAACACACTATATTGTACGACGCTTAATGGCAGTCGTATCTACATTCTAATTATTTTTATTGATATCAAATTGAAGGGTAACTTTAAAGTGTTTATACATTAGAATCCATTCTGCTTGTTCTACGTGTCAGTACTCGTTCTTATTTTAAAAATTGTTATAATTAAGTTTAGTAATACAACAGAATACTTTCTAAAACCATAGACTCGGAAAGTCTATACTCAAAGATTATAAAATATGAATTTTACAAATATTATTATACTACCTATATTTAACAATTCATTTATTTTACTTGCATTAATTTCTTTCTTTTATAACTTACGATACCAAAATCTTATTTTTATGAGCAATATATCAAGAGATTTGAAAATAATTTGCTACAGTATATAATTTTTGAATGGAACATTTAGATTTACGATTTTTATCACTAATATTTTAATCTTAAGTAGTACTAATTTCTAACTGAATTTTTCAATTTTTTAAGACATAATAATCAGTATTTTTGTATAATTGGAATTAGGGACCAATCAGTTAGCAGCTCTTATTAATTTTCGTATTAAATTACGTGTGAATTTGTATCTAGAAATTAAATAGTTGTATTAATTTATTTCGTATCGAATACTTAATTTACACAATAAAGATTATTAAACCAAATACATTATTTTTTACGTTTTAAGAATAGTTCATTAGTAATAGCGTTGCAGTATTGGCCTAGATGCTTCCGTGTTCGACTCACCCTGAGGTCGAAGATGCGAACCCCGGCCGCGCACCAATGGAGTTTCTGTCTAAGTGTGCATTTAACCCTCGCTCATACGGTGAAGGAAAATATGGGTGAGGCAACCACCCGAGTCGGGGTGTCGGCACAGAAGGCTAACTGCCTTTTAGAAAAAAAAAATGATCACTAAACAGATACAGAAATCTGAGGCTTATGTAGATGATGGCACTGATGATTCCTAAAAGTAATCGTTTCCCTACTTAAAACTAATCACTTATTACGAACACTTGACTTAACATGTCGAGTATAATGGTTGCAGTTCCTTACAATCTCCTTGTAACCCAAAAACTTGGCGATTCAAAACAGTGGCAAAAAGATCTTTGCCAGCAGCTTTACTTCTTTAATTTGGGAACTAGTAGTAAGAACCGTCCAACTTTTATTAAATATTGACGTTCATATGTGTACATACGTACAAATAGTAACGCTTCGAATTCGACGTCCGCAAAAACAGGTACTAAAATGGATCTATTATAATATCACAACATGAATGAAATAGTAAAGGACTGTCATTTTGCACATTTTTTATAAATAATAATAGCAAGGAAACATCTAGAGTGGACTTTTCCGCCGGCTTCCGTCGAGCGCCTCTGGTTTTACAGTTTTGAGGACGATGAGTCTTTCATCGGTATATCTGGTTATGCACGCGCGATCTTTTACCTTATGTGTTATCAACATCCATCAGTTTATCCAAGTTCTCATCACCTCTTCGGATTGTCTGGCCGAAATAAGAGACGAAAGATGAAACGTTTACAAGAAATACCTAAAATTAGCAATTGTAATATAAGCTGCAGCTCTGTTCATGCCCGGCTATGCCTGCTTAATTCGCAAATCAGTACTGTCCACAATTTATACCATACAATATTAAACAGTGTTTCCGTACCAATAAATCGCTGTTGTGAATACACTATTACTCTCACCGCAAACAGCTCTTGAATATCTTAGTAATTAGTGAAACACTCGCTTATATTTACATACTATGTTTAACATTGAGCTTAATAAGCATATTTAATCATGCTCGCGGCAGCATATAAGTATTGAAATAACACTTGCTGCCCGCGGCGAAATTCGATGGATATTATGGTATTGTTACGAAGATGGGTTGACTGAAATGTTTTACGATATTCCACAAGTTAAGAGATGTTTTCAGCAAGCTGCAGCTGCTGCAGCAAGCATTTTCTTAAAGTTAACCTCGTTTTCAGGAGACTAAAACATTTTTCAGACTGTTTCAGAGAAAATGTAGTAGTACGGTTTCAGGAAACCAGTTGTTTAGTCGTTTTCAGGACTGGTTATACCCCTTTGATGGAGAAATATTCTAGAGTGAACTTTCTAGGTGTGAGACAAAGACGGAATGATACGCGAGAGAGGGCTGATCGAAGCCAGACTGAACATTCTAGAACGCCGTACGACAAGGACGGAGCGAGCGAAAGTGGGTCCAACACAACTTTGCTGTCACCAGCATACACTAAATAAATAACAATAAATTAAAAATCAAATAACAAACAAACATAAAACACGAGACAATGCAACGAAAATCCCAACCCGACCGACTGACATTCCAAAAGATAACTTTTACATTTTATCTTAAGACGTAATGCCTTATAGGTGCCAAGTTGTTCCAGCATTTATTGCATTGTATCGGAAACTACAGCGAAAAGACGCTATTTCTGTGTTCAGGGAAAATGAGCAGTTTATTTATCCCTCCTGAATGATTCTTGCATAATGTCTTTATGATAACATATTATAGTAGCTCAGAATTTATATTACATTATTAAAAAATTGTTTTAAATATGTCAAGATGTCAATCAGTTTGCATTGGTGTTATCCAGGCATAACACAAAGAAAGCTAGCATAAATCAAAAATTGAAAATTTCTCATTATTTATGTGGGAATGAGTGCCGCGCGCTGTAACTGTTCTTCAATCCCACAAAGAGCTTTTATGTGTGTATTAATGTTTAGGGATGTGCTGGCAACAATCGAATCTTCTGCGTCAAAATACGAAGGAACAATGGTTGGTATATATTTTCTGTGATTGCTTATTAAGTAAATAATGAGGGCATGTCAACTATTACATTATTTGCTTTTCAGTCTCAAAGGAAAACACATATTAGGTAGAATGTATAAGACATCATCAAATTTTCCTTATAACATGACTCGCATTGTTAAAAGAATGTAACTTACAGAGGAAAATATTATTTTGTAACAAATATGATTATATTATATAATAATATTTCCTTTCCTTTATAATGAGTTTTTCATATTTGTTATCAATACATTGAACAACAACTGATGTGTCTGGATATATCAATTGATTCTTCAGATATGTGCTGCGTGAACATTAAACACTTAAGTATTTCCGAACCAATTCGACTTAGAGTTCTTTAAGAAAAGAGCGTAAAAGGGTGACAACTTGGGAGCCTTCTGGCATTGTGAGACTCCATGAGCAGTGCTATCACTTAACCCCGCAACCCCACCGCGCGGGCAACACCGTTTGTACCGTTTATATAAAAAAAAATGGTGCGTGTACTTATGTACGCGCGTAAGAAGTTATACTTCTTTGGCTTTCTTTATTTTTTTTAAATATTAAGTAATTAATAATAAATATTTAACGTTAATAATTTAATAGTATTTAATATTTTGTATATTATTCAATTATTAATTAATATTA